ATTATAAATAAAAACAAAACTATAATAAATGCTAATACTACATATAATATAATAATTTCATCCCTCACTTATTTAACTTTAGTAAAAAATTTATTTAACATACTCTGAGATAACTCTTTATTTTTAATTTTAACCTCATATTTTAACTAATTCAATTTTAATAAAAAAATTATAAGCTAATTAAAATTTTAGATACATAAATAATTTTTTTTTCTCTTTTAACTAATTTAATTTTAATATAAAAATTATAAATTAGGTAAAATTTTAAATATATAAATAAAAATTTATATTTATATTTATATTAGTCTTGTGTATGAATCACTTGGACCCGGCTTAAAGCCGCGCGGAATAGATGGAGTAAAAAATGTTGGCTAAAAAGAAAAACAACTGAGAGGGAGACAAATGATTCGTTAAACTAGGCGGGTGGATGAATCTAACAAAGTCCACGAAGAGGTACGATCATCGGTGGTCCCTCTTTTTACGAAAATCGCGGCACATGCTTGACGGGCATGCAATGATTCTAATTGTCCAAACCAGTTGTCATTACCCAAATTGTATTTTTATTACTCCATTATTAAAATTATGAAATTAAAGATTTCGTGAGGATGATGTCATCATACTTAATAATGATTTTAAATGTTAGGAATTACTAATAATTAGAGGAGAAAGAATGTTGCAACTTTTTAATACGAACTTCCAAACATAAGAAGTAATTAGCGGCAGAATTAGTAATCGGCGCAATAGTTCATGTTCAACTGAAAAAAAAAAAAAATTAGTACTATTGTTCCTATAAACTTATGTATTACTCTTTCTCTTTCTATTAGCTTAGTCTAAACCCAATTCATAGTATTTTTATAAATATAAATAATTATAAAATTTACAAAAGTCAAGCCTCCACGAATCATGGATAGGCCCAATCATAATAAAACATAACAGGACACAACTTAGTAAACCAAACACATTATTAGTCTATGGAAGAGGACCTTGACTTTTCGTGTGCAAGGCATTAAGGCATAGATTGATGGATATCATGGATTATTATTGTTAATATAGTAAAATATTAATTTTTATTTTTGTAAAAAAAAAAAAAAAAAAAAAGGCTTTATTGATGACTTGATGATATTTTGTTATTAAATTAGGTAATTTACTATATAATGGATTAATAACTAATTAGGGCGGAGTTCACAGATCTTACTTTATAATATGAATTTATTGATAAGGAATATATATATCTTGCATTATGTGTTTGTTTTACTATTTGTATGAAATATACTTCAATGAATTATTAACTATGAAAATAGTTTTGAAAGTGTAAATGTGTTAAAAATTTTTAAATTATTGAGAATTTTATATTTAACCCCCGCTTTGCAATCCTGACTCCGCCAACCTAATCACTTGAAAAAGGAAGGCTAACAAAAATGAACTGTATTTATATATTAAGTGCGGGTAAAGGCACCTTAGTGTGTGGGGTGGTGCCGGAGACAGCAGCGTCAGTGGTGATGGCAGGTGCATGTGACTTACCCGTAAACAGAGGTAAGTATTGGGGTTCGTGGGTAGGCAGAAATTTGGTGTATAGCGCAACGGTTTCTTCCTGAATCCATTACCACAAATGCTTACATCACCTGTCTCCTCCACCTCGTGAAATATGATGATGATGATGATGATACTCTTGCTGCAACAGAGTTCTTCATTTGCTTGCACGTGATCTTTGCAAATTGTCTTCAAGTGAGACCCACAGTTTTGTTCAATATAAAACCAACCTTCCATTCCATGCCAAATTTGTGAAAGCCCTGTTCTTCATGGCACACACTTCTTCACTATTCTCCACAGCCTGCACGTGATCTGTTCAAATTGTCTTCATACATGAGTAGGTCAATCCGGTTACACAGATATGATTCCATATGAATTCAAAATTTAATTTGATAGGTTTATTCAGCCAAATAAATTTAATATTAATGACCATCATTCCAGCTTGATCAAAATGTTTATTTTATATAGATGAAGAGTTGATTGCAATCCGATAATCAGAAGAATTTTTTTTTTTTTTAATGATGCGGGAACCCTTGTAATTATTCACCTTTTAAACTTGTAACTATCCGATAAACTTTTGGTTATTCATCCCGACCCCCACAATGCAAATAGCATAATGAGAAGAATTTTTTCTATGGTTTTATTATCATAAATCACACTAACTAGTTACATCACAGCTACTAGCACATATAGATGTAATGTAATTCAGAATTATAGAAAATATTAAATACTTCATGTAACACTCTCCATCAATTAAAATTCTATCCATTCCATGATTGTAAAAGTCATTGTCAATGACTTTAATTTGTCATAAATAAAAATAACCATAGTTAGTCCATACCCACCGATAAATTTTTAAATGATTCTGAACCATTAATATTTGGTGGATCAATTAAATACAAACTCTCGAATTGAGAAAATGGTTCTAAAAGAGTGTATTAATAAATTACAAAGTTTCATTATAGAAGGATTTTCATTGAATTAGTTTTCAAATAGATTAGGACTATCTAATAATTTCTCCCAACGTAGACATTACCACCACCACCACTACCAGGCACATCCACAAAAAAAGGAAAAATAAAATAAAAACAATTATGATTGTTTTTATCTCACCATTCTCACCGGTTCTATTCTCTCCACTCACACCCACTTTCATTCTCTTACTAATTTCAGTCACAAATCCAACACCACCACAACCATTATATCGCAACATTTTTCCCCAAATTCAGCGAATTAACTTGCCATAGCTGCCATCTCCTCTAGCACCAGATACGTTTCCCTCCATCGGCTACCGATAAGAATGACGAGAGGTGTAATTTACTAAAAATAAATAAATAATAGTAATAAAATAGTAAGAAAGAGGAGACTGAGAGAGTTACGTAGTGTTAGCGGTTAGGTACTAAAATGAATTGAAAAAAGTTAGAGGTTTTAAAAAAACGTTTAGCACCATCTGAGTGACTTTAACCAAAAATGTGTACGTATTATAATATACATATTACAGCATATTTACTATCCATTTTTATGGATTTGATTTCTTCAATCTTCTCCTCCTCTTTGATAACGGTCACAGTTCACACTCCATTTTTAATACTACCCAATAATGATAATCAAAATAACACATTTTTCATGAAGAGCGATAAGTACCTTGTTTATAGTTTTTTTTTTTCGAATGATGAAGCAAATATATAGATAATTATAGGATTAGAGTTGGGCCCAAGGAGGGCCCTCGGAAAGAAACATTTACGTTGCATAAGGGACGCAACAAGCCCAAGAGGCTCAACAAGAACTAGGGGAGCCCAGACGAAGAGCAATAGAAGCCCTGTACCAGATGGACGGTTTGCGGCTGGAGCATAAAAAAAAAATGTATAGATGATCAAGGATTCTGTTACTTTCATCGCCGTTCTCTTTATTAATTTTTTTAATCAATGTGTGTCACTTCTTCTACGAGCTTCTACCACCTTCATCCTGTATATATATAATATTTATTATGGTTTCTCAAGTGTTAAAAATTTGTCCAATTCAAATATATTTGAATCCATAATTATAGAGGCTAAATTACACTAATGGCTAAACCTTTATATTATCAAAAAGTTGAAATATATATATATATATATATATATATATATATATATATATATTGACAATAAACACCTACAATTTATCAAAAGTCGCAAATTAATCCATTTAACAAACAAATGTTGGAAATTTGGTATTAAAGTGGTCACTAACACATGAAAGCATTGTTTTAATCAAAATTCCCTTTTTAACAAAACTTTTAGAAAGAATTAAAGGCCCTTTAACATGCCCATCTTATTTTTTATGATGACAGAAATGCTCCTTACGCTATGTTTGGTTGGAGGGAAGGATTGAGGAAGGATGGATGAACCTTTTCGTACTTGGTTGGTAGGAAGGAAAAAGAGGGAGGAAGCAAGGAGGGATGAAACATCCCTTATTTCTTCTTGTTTTTCTATTTGCCCACTTTTGAAGGGAAGGGATGAGAGAAAAAATGAATAAATATCTACACATATACAATTTTCAATTTTAACTTTTTTTTTTAAAATCAAACGGATATTTACCTCTTATTATTTTATACAGTGAGGATATATTGGTAAAAAATATATAAAAACTCACTTTCCCTTCTTTCCAATAAAAAAAATCACCACATCCATTATTTCTACTATCCATTTCTATTCAACCAAACAAAAAATGAGAGAAACACTTTTCCTTTCTTAGGGATTTCTCATCCATCACTCCACCTATTTCTTCCATCCCTCCAACCAAACGAAGCATTCATACAAATTTTAAAAAAATGATTTTTTTTAGGTTTTCTTTTCTTTATTAAATTTTTAAAAATAAAAATTTAAGAAAATTGTTTCAACGTATTTTCATTTTTTTATAGGCGAATCATTAATTTTTTTCGAAAATAATTCTTAACAACATTATGCTGAATGAGTTATTTTTATTAATTTAATTTTATATTATGGGACGTCATTTCTTAAATTTATATTAAGAGACATTTTTATCATTATAACATAGGGGGTTTTATTTCAAATTTATTTATTTATTTTTTTGCAGGGCATTTTTGGGCCAAAAATTAAAAATGGAAGAATTTTTTATTGCAATTTGCCCTTGATTTTACAAATGAAAAGTCGAGTGCAATTTGGCCTTATATATAAATGGTCTACTCCCATTATTTAGTATACTATTGTACACTGAACAACAAAGCATGAATTGAGGTAGCAGAACCACAAATTGTTTCACAGTGATCAATTTATGTGATCCTTCTTGTGTACAAAATTACATATTGTAAGTGGGGTTTGTTTCACAGATTTGAATGGAGAATGACCTAGACATATAGTATTTAACAACTCAAACTTTTGATTCAAAGGACAAGCGTCTCACCCGTAATTGATTTGATGTCACGCTAAGGTCCATCTTAATGGAGTCAAATTAAAATATATGCAACCATAAGAATAGAAGCAGTAGTTTTGCATAAAAGTAACAACCGATAACCAAATTAACAAGAAGAGTAGTAACAACCTCTAAGCCAGAAACAAGCTGTCAAAAATACTTTTATGCTTAAAAAGGGAACTAACAATGCCCTTTTCCTACTTGACTTGTGAAATTAAATTTTGATTGCAATCCCATTAATTAACATACTAAATAAGTTGAAACAAACCCTAAATTACAAGTAGGGGCCTTGGCTTGAAGTTGAGTACTGATTCTCTCAGGGGAGGAAAACATCTGAAAGGACTGTGTTGGAATAAAAGGAGGCCTGCACGATCTCCAAACCCTAATAAAAGTACACACAAAAATCATACACTCGACTAAAGCAGCAACAGCAACAATTTTAATTAAAGAAGCAAATTAAAAAGATTTAAAAGGGTAGTAGTACCTTTTCCATGTCAACCTCTACTGTCATTTCTTGAAGACAACCAACATCTTTAACCTCAGAAGTGTTGAGAAGAGTGATGCTAGATATTGTGGACATGGGTTTGACCACCAGATCATCCATCACCATGTATGTCACCACATCTTTAACATACCCATCCAACTGATCTGGCTTGGCAGGAGTGTTTGGAAAACCAAATGAAGAAGAACCACTACAAGCAAATAAAACAGGAGCGGTTCTATCAAAAGGACTACGACCATATAATGTAGGGGTCTGAACGGTGCTTGAAGAGGCTGCCGTGGGCCTCGAGAGGAAGTCCTTATTTTTGTGGTTTGGTAGCAGATAGCTGTTGTCAAAGCCTCTGGCACTCCGGTAGACACTGCCTAAGGATCCGAAAGTAGTCTTGCCGCGCTCAATTAAAAGGGCCATAGTGGAGCCAAGGGGCACCTCAAGTAGTCCAAACAAGAAGTCCACAAAGTCCTTTCCGGCCTCTGCAAACAGCACCTTCCCTGCCTTGTTCACGAGTAGCTTCAAGTTTATTATTGCATTTTTTTGGTTGAATAGCTTCAAGTTTATTTGTGGTTTCGTGGCCATTTGAGATTGACTGGTTAGCATATATTGTAGGGGAAAAGAGTGAGCTTGGAGAGAACACTTGACAATGTCCAAAATAGGGCCAGAAGGCTCTATCTTTTTATACTATAGTTCTGCAATATTTGCTCTTTAATTACTGTGCATTTGGTAACTTTTATGTTTCTCCCAGCAATAAAGTTTGAAGTGCTTTCCACAACTCCATTATCTTTTCCTTTGTAATCTTTTTCTTTTGTTCTAAAGTTAAAATGATGATTCAATTTCACTAGTACAAGTGTTTGTCAAAAATGTAAAGTGAAAGATGATTTAAAAGATCAAAGGATGCAAATAAACAATTCATATATAATTAATCTTCCCAAAAAAATCTATGATGAAAGTTAAACCTAGGTTTGTTTACAAGGACCGACAAACTAAGTGATAAATTAAGAGAAAATCTAATAATTGTAATAATTGTATTGATAATTGAATCTGAAAGAAAATCTTAATTCATATAGAAACTAACTGTAATATAAAACCTAACAACATAAGAAAACCTAATCTCGAAAGGACACTATTACTCAAAAATAGTCGTATAGTTTCTCTGAAAAAATAGAGAAAGAAACCTAATCAAATAAAACTACTAAATATAAAATTTGGGTGGAATCCAAATTCGTTTAGACAATGAACAAAAATCCTGAAATATCGAATAGACTTCCTATATATAAGATAGAAAAATACCGTTTTGACTCCCTAAATGATGGTATTTTGTAGAAAAAATTATCAATATGTTCGTTTGGCCCCTGGCGGTTCAAACGGATCATAAAAACTTCGACAATTAGTTCTATATCATGCTATCATTTAAAAATATTCCCACCAATTCGGATGCATATATATTAGTAGGCGGATCCAGGAATTAATGTTAATGGGGTGGGCTAAATTTTTTTGGGTGGACTAATACTAATAATAATTTTTTTTTTTTTTTTTTTTTTTTTTTTTGGGTAAGCTTAAGCTGACCAATCTTAACACCTAGATATCTAGATACGCCCATTATATTTATAACTGATAACAATAAATTTAGAGTTAATTTCACCGACACTCCCTTAAGTTTAGCCAAATATCATCCTAAAATATCTTTCGAAAATAATTATCACTCACATCACAAACTTTTGCTTCGTTTTTCACTAACACCCCTAATAGTTAGTTGAATAGTTCTGACACGATGTAAAATGACTTAATCACCTTTTGAATTTGTCAAACTAACACTTTAACTTCAGGAATTAGATTAAAAGACTAAAATACCCCTAAAAAGTTGTAAATTTACAAATTATATATATACACACATACACATAGACATATATATATATATATATATATATATATATACTAGAAAATGGACACGTGCAATGCACGTAAATAAAAATCTATATTGGATAAATAATTATATTTTATATTTTATATATTATTTAATCTCAAAATAAAATAAAATTAACTTTAATTTTGAATCTTCCAAACCAAAAAATGAAAAAAGAAAATATTTTTTATCACAGAATATTGACTAACTAATAATATTTTTTTTATCACAATGACTCCTTTTGCAGAAAAATCGTTTTTAATTGGTATTTAATTTTTTTTGGTTCATTTTTACCGAATGGTGATGCGACTTTTTCTAATTTCTCCTTTGTTAATATTTATGTTAATCTTGTTATTTACTTCATGATCATTTAGTTTTAGTTGTTGTATTGAATATGTTAGACAACTATTATTTTACTATTTTATCCGACATATGTGTCCTTTGTGAAAGGTTGTGTCATTTATATAAACGTTCGTGTCCTTCAATAATTGATGTGTTGTTTCAGATTAAACTTATTAATAACAATAATGTAAACTTAAAATCTCTTTAATTATTTTTTATTAACTTATTTAAGTTAATATTTAATTAATAAAATTGTACACAAATAGAAAATAATTTAATTAGAATTATTATTAATTTTTTGAGTGATAATTATTAATATAAAGAATTTAAAAAAGTCACATAACTAATAACATAATTTATATGAGGGTCTTAATCATCTTTCTGTCTAATTATTAAAATATTAAAAAATAAAACTTTGAAGTGATAAAGAGAGTCGGTATATGATTATTGATACATGAGAAAGAAAAAAAAATGCATAGAATTTTTTTGATCAATATAGTGAAAAAAATACATAGAAATTTATAGAGGAAAAAGTTCAGTATCCAAAATATGATCATAGACATCATAAAAAGCCCATAGCATAAATTCCAAGGTCTTAGATATAAATATCAAATGCCCAAAGCTTTAGAAGAGAAGAAATTTTTTATTTAACTAAGAAGTTTTCCTTGGTTTGTCTGTGCTAATGCCACTAAACCGTAGCTAATAAAGAAAACATTTGGAACACATTATAATAAAGAAAGAATGAATTACTAAAGAAAACATACATATCTAAAAAGATAACAGTAAGTACAAATAGTGTTTATCAATAACTATGTAGAATCTTAATATTGCATAGTATAATTATCATATATCACCACCTTTATTAATAGTACTTATTATGTATAGTTTGAAGAATTTATTAATACGTGGGTCTACCACATAAATGATGCAAGGAACATGTGCAATATGCCAATTGGGACAAATGAGTACCAAGTCTGAATTATTATTATTATTTTTATTATTATTATTATCACAAAAATATTACAGTAATACTCCCAGTCATATTATGACATATGACAGACTGAAGAAGAAGAAAAATTCAAATTGAATAGCAAATAAGATTTCATACTTCTAAGAAAAATGGGAACCCCACCTCCCCTTACCATATTCCATGAATTCAAAATTTTAGTATAACATTATACATTACACAAATATATCTTGTTTAAAAAAAAAAAAAAATTCTAAAATACACAACTCATCACAATTATAATATATCTTGTTTTTTTCTCTATCAAAGTCCATTCAGTTTTGACTATTTTATTAATGTTTTAATTATAATTTTAGTTGTTTTACATGTGTTTTTTTTTGGTTATTTGGTAGGTCATTTATAAAATTGATCAATTATGAACACCCAAATAATGAGTTAGTAACATTTTTCAATTGAAACACTTATTTTAATTGTGTTTTTATGATATCTGTCACGTCACTCTAAGGGCTAGTTTGGTGTGGTGGAATGAATTGGAATAGAATGGGAATAGAGGTGGGAATAGAATGAGAATGGAATAGAGTGGGAATTATGATTCCCATTCTCTTATTTGATTGCAAACATATAATGGAATGTATAAAAGTAAAATAATAATTTCCATTTATTTGTTTGGTTGGACTAAAAATAAAAATGGATTAAATTTATAATGTTTTACCTTATTCATCATTTATATTGTTTTCTCCGAATTATCTTTATCATTAATAATAAAAAAAAATTAACTAAAAAATTAACATCAAATTTTTTCCAATCCAGTGGATAGAAATAGGTATGTAAGAATGAAATTGGGGCAATAGATAGAAATAGGTATGTAAGAATGAAATTGGGGCAATAGATAGAGAGAGAAAGTAGAGAGAAAATAGAAACTGGGCAAGTGAGGTGTTGGAGATTGGGGCGAGAAAAGGCGATGGAAAGAATGGTGATCTGATTCGGAAAGAATGGTGATCCGATTTACAAACTTCAGTGCGATCGGGTGAGGACGAATCTGATTTGGAAAGAATGGTTTCAGCAATTCTTTCACAAAATCAATTAAAAAGCTTATGTAAACAGATTTGGAAAGTATCACGAAAAAGCTTCAGATCTTCTTTATTTATTTATTTTTTTTAACTTACCAAAAAACAAAAAAGCTTCAGATCTACTTTTGATTTTTTATTGTGTCTTGGTCCATCACTTTGAAGTTCAAGATCATGCGGTGGGTTTGATGGAGGAGATGATGATGCCGGTTGTGGGTTTGATGGAGGAGATGATGATGCCGACGGTGGGTTTGATAGAGGAGATGATGATGCTGACGGTGGGTTTGATAGAGGTGATGATGCCGGCGGTGGGTTTGATAGAGGTGATGATGCCGGCGGTGGGTTTGACAGAGGATGTGATGATGCCGGCTGTGGGTTTGATAGATGTGATGATGCCGGCTGTGGGTTTGACAGAGGATGTGATGATGCCGACGGTTTGTTTGATGGAAGGATGGTGATGCGTGGGTTTGTAATTTGTTAGGTTTTATTTTTTTAATATTTTTTTAGTTTGTATTTTTCTAAAGTTAGAATTAAATGGTCATTCCTTTTGTGAAAAGGTGGAATGATTATGATGGAATGACTATTCTCATGGTGGAGAATGACGATTCCAAGTTTAAAATTGGACACCAAACACAAGAATGAAATAAAAACCATTCCATTCCACTTTCTTTACATTCCATTCCATCGTACCAAACTAAGCCTAACAGTTATATTTTAAATTAAACACTTCTTGTACGATACTTCAAAATAAAAAAAAATTACAGATAATTAGAAACATACAAAAATGTATATACATAGAATGATAGAGATAGTTTTATAAAGAAACTCTTTCATGTAATAATTACCGTATATTGAATAAAAGTTATATGTAAAAAAAACTCTAAAATATTTCAATAATAATGTGATATAGAAGAAATTATAAATAAATATAAAAAATACAGAGACAAAAAAAGTTTTTAGAGGAGAGAAGAGTTGTAACCTAAATATATAATTTATTTAAGAAGTATAGTGTACTTACAATGTTGGCCTGAAAATGAAAAAAAAGTTTTTGCAGATCGAGAAGAAGATAACAGACAACCTTTCACAATAGACTTCTCTTTTAAATATAAAAGTAAAAAGACGTCCTTTTAGAAGAAGGAAGCGTAGTCTCTTTGGGAAAAAGAAGAAAGAAAGAAAACAAAAATGGTGTGTAAAAAGAAAGACATCTTAACTATTGATACCTTTTAGAAAAATGAAACGTCGACAGACTCTTTCGGTAAAAAGAAAAAAGAAAGAAAACAAAAACAGTGTGTAAAAAAGAAACGTGAAACGTGTCCTATAATATTTTGGTATGGATATATATATACACACACATTACACACAGTGACACACAGTGACACACACACATATAT